CATCTGACTCAACCCCATGCAACAAAAATTGATAATGTGTGTTCATTATGGCCCATTCTTCCTCGAAGAACAAATACATAAGTGGCAATTTAGTCAAAGACGAGAAAACAGCACAAGAAATTTGCCTTATTTACACGTATCGGCAATGCAAGCTGCCCAGCGACTTCCTCTTCTGACGTCACAAGGGGAATTTCTGTATGCAAAGGAGAAGCTAATGAGGAGCCTCGTTTTAAAATACACAAAAAAAAATTTCCGTAGACTGAGTTTAAAACACATTTTTTCACTTAAAAAAAATTATTTATGCTTAGAAACATAAAAATTAATAATATTTATGTATCAATGGATAATTTTAGGCGTGAAAATAGCAGCCATTTCACAGGCACTTTAAGTTTCTTGATTGTAAGTAATATATTTATGTATTGAAGGCAACAAAAATGGTATTTTCAAGATATCTACATCGGAAACCAATAGACAAAAATCAATGAGCAGTTCCCCCTGGATTTGGTTGTGCTTGAGTCAGGGTGTCACCAAATTGCACACAAGATTCTCTGTTCAACGGATTACAAAATCAATATTAGAATCTCTTCTGCTGGCTCTCAAACAGCAATGCATGACAAGATTGATTGTAGCAGATACAAATAAATGGTTCAATCAGTGTAACTTTCAGACTTCATTTTCGCCAAAAGTTTTGCCAACAACACAACTTTTATTTAGGGTTTTTAGGCTTGTACATGTCCCAGAATGGTATGAAGTAGTTGTGCAAGTTTGTAGCCCTGCCACATGTAAATGTATTTTTGATATGAATTGCCGTTTGAGTCGTCATGTTTTTATTAGTTATACTTCTTAACTTACCGTACCTAAAATATTGTGCAAGTGAGGTGGTTCACAAAACATACTTTTCTTCAGGAGAAAATCTCGCTTGTTTACTTCACGTCAAATCTAATTCGGTATTGTGCCTTGTTTGTAGGAAGTCATTGGTGGAATGCTGGATGTGGAACCCAGGCGATGGAGAAACCCTCTAAAGCAAAATTTTGAAGACCATAGAAAGAAAGCCCTACAATTTGCTGAGTGGTGGAAACCATATGACTGGACACAACGAATTGATAGGGATTGAAATATATATATTTTTCTGTAAATATAATAAAGAAATTGAGCATTTTTTTTTATAAACAATACTTTCAAAATCTGTTTTGCATATTATTTCAAACTTTTCCCATAATGCAGCTAGAGAATTTATTTTTAAAGTAGAATGGTATGTAATGCTGTGTACGATTCGTCATTGAATTTTATAATTTAAAGGCATCTACAAGAAAAATTTCACCCACATTACTGCAACCATCCTAAAGATTCCAATGAAATGTCAAATGCTACAATGTGATTAAAGGTAGTAATTTAAAAGTTCTTGATATACCACAATCTTGAAGGTATTTTAATATGCAGTTGTGCAGGCATTTATATTTTGCACATGTTGCATAATTGTCTCCAAGAATGTCCAAATGCATTTTACTTTGAGCCAATAGCAATCAAGTACTGAATCTGATAACAAGAAATATTCGCAGCACGTATTGCCTTTCTGAAACTGGCAGGATGCATCAATTATAAATCAAGTAGTGAAAATTGATAACCAGGAGTAAACAATGCCACGTTTGAATGGAACAAGAGGAATGGTCAACATGAATGTGTATACGACTATTATGTAGTGGTTTTTTTTGTACCTACTTTGAACAATGTTCATACCAGATTCAAATGAAATTAACCAAGACGTGTTTTGAAGTGTATTGTGCGACTAAAATGATGTAAATCAGTAACGAATGCACGAAATTATGCAAAAATATGTTCCATGTTCAAATTTTTTTTGAAAATGTACGACTTGTACAAGATAAAATCCCGAAAAGATCTTGCCATTACCATTATCAAAAAAAAAAAAAAAAAAAGGTATCTGCAAGTGTATCAGAAACAGCCATTTTTTAGTAAAATCTGGAAATTAAAAGATGCACATCAACAACCCAGCACATTGATGTCAATCCCAAGTCATTCCAGAAAAATAGAACATGTTAAAATGCCGATTTTAGGTTTTCGATCAATGGAATAACAAATCAACATGTACTCAGTTATGATCCATCTTTACAACTTGGTCTGAATATACCCGAGAACTGTCTGCCAGTTGGGCACCAAAACACGAAACAAATCCCTTATTCGGACTACATCTGATGGAGACAAATAACCATAAAACCAAAGAGAATTTTCAATTTCTTTTAATATAAATATACAAGATTTGATTATTCACAAGACAGACATGAATACACTGGTATATATACATGCACAAAAAAACATAAAACAAATACAATAAAATATTTTGACACATTCTTATTCACCCCATACATAACAGCTAGCAATGTGCTATAAAGATTCGCTCTTGTCGTTTGCATTTAGGCTTACACCAATTTCAGATTTTTTTGTACATTTTTTTTATGTTTACCAATTGGGTAAGTTTTTCTTAATTAATTCTGTCTTTGGAATATTTCTGTATACAGACACATTCTGGGGAACATACTATAAATATTCTATATTTTTATAACAATTGCATTAAAATCCATTGGCAATATTATTCTTTCAAAATGAAGCAAGTGCCTGCAACATCCAGCATCTCCTTTAAGGTAATATCACTACTGCATGTACCACCATTAAAATATATCCTCTGAATGCAGGAGAATAGAGTAATTCTTTATACGTGTTGTGGTGTTGTGTTGTGTTGTGTTTACATCTCTGAGTTGGCCTCTGTGTACACTTCATCATCTTCTGATGAAGGCGAGCGCACTAGACTTGTATCCATGCCAAGCATCTGTTCAGTATCGCTTATTCTACAACAAAAGAAAATGATTACTCAGGTTATGAAATTTAGGAGGTTCGATACAGTTGGACTTGAGATGAGTGACCTTTTGCATAGACACACTATCATGTACACTAGTCTCATGAGCGCTGGCAAAAGGTAAATTTTATATCACCCAAATTAAAGCAGTTGCACATTATCAGTGAAATTAAAACCCAGTGAGTAATTCACTCGTAGTATATCAAGTGTAATGCAGGCTATATAAAGTAATTAACTATCAGTTTTCAATGTTGCCATTCTTGTATTTATACAGTCAGTATGACGATTATTCCAGGCATTAAATTCAAACCACATTTCAACCAGCTCATCTCAAGACATTTTGCTGTTGCCAGATGCCATAGAAGATAACCAATCACAAAATTGGAATTCAATATGTTCCATCAAGCGATCAGTCGGTCGGTCGGTCGGTC